ACTCAAACGTATCAATATTTTCTTAGACCCCCTAAAACTGAAAAACTTTCCTGTTATTGCGGCATGCTGTCCTGTGCATAGACATAACATATACGTATCTGTGGTCCTGTTGATTAGCCTAGCAACAAACATTCAACACATGGTGCCTCTCGATGTTAACTTTATGGTGGTTTACTGAATGTAACGTTAGGTTAACCTTTCTCAAAGGTCTGTTGATGCTACTAAAGACATCGGATGATCATCTCAAAAACAGGCCAGAAAAAGCACTGCAGCTCATTTCAGTTGCACAGCAGGGTGGCATTTAGCTAGCTACATAAGTGGTCGGTGCAGTGTGGAGCATTAACACCCAACACTCCTCCTGGCCCCAGACAAGGGCTTTGCAAGCCATCTTTGTCAGTTTTGTGTCAAAATGTGTCCCCTTCATGAGCTGTTTACCACCCCCCCCCCATAGTAACTTAATGCAAATCTAACCTTATAGTCCTGACCACTGATGGGAACGCTAAGTGAAACTGTTTAGCAGGGGAGAAACATCTGGTCTGGGGAAACACTTTCACACAATACCAGTGTTTTATGGTCAGTTTCTTGCATTTTCAATAAAAAGATGTTTGAAATCATTTATTTCATTTCCTTACTAACTGGGCATAGGCTGTTTTAATGTTTGGGCTTTGTGTTAGCAGTGTACCTATTGGAGCAGAAAGATATAGAATACACAAATAGTTATTTATTTATTTAAATTCATATCATCATTGCAATACTGAACAGTGTTATTGCACATCACAGGTTTTCCTCATATCGTGCTGACCTAATAAGAATGGTGAATTTTCAGATTGCGTTCTTGACGTTTTCTCTCTTTCCTTTCTTCCAGGCTGGTCAGACAGTGAACGTTGACGCTAAATGTGACGAGCCGACGCTGCTTGGGAATGTGCTGGATGAGATCAAGCAGACCTTCTCTCAGTGCTGATTGTGTCTGACATCCCCAGGGTTCCCAGACCCCTCCATGCCACCCCCTTCACTGAAACACAGCATAATCATGTTACAAAACACTGCAGCTGACGTTTCCAGTATCATCCTATTTATTAGTTCTCAGATTTGCAAGATTTCTTTCCCCTTAGCTTCTGTTTCAGTACCACACACTCTATTGTTCTTCTGCACACTCAACTTCGTCGTTACTTCCTGACACCTGATGTTGTTTTACAGACTTCACTGTGTCCATGCACCTTCTTCTCTGCAACGCACCTTCATTTTTACTTCTGGTTTTTGGCCATGAACAGCCACCCTTTTCCACCCCAAATCTGACTCTCTACCGAGCACCTGTTTCTGGATACCCTGAGTCCTCTGCTCTAACTTTCTACCCTCCACTTTATCAGCGCTTCATTCTGTGACAGTCATGTAATGTAATGTAACCAACTGGACTTTTGCTGTTGATGGTTGAAATGTGTTTTTACTGTTTTGAAGTTTTTTGGTCTTTGGTTTGTTTTTGTCTCATTTTTTTCCCCTCTGAATCCTGTCTGCACCTTTGCCTCACCCCTTCTTTCTGCTCACTAAACATCAGTGTGCGTGCTGCTTGTCTGTCATGTAGCGGACTCTCGGATTGGTCCTGGCAGGAAAAATGGGGACTTTAATCATCGACCACTGATCTGGTGCCTGGAGAAAACTATACATTAGGTGACTGCAGTGAAAATAGTGCAGAGATAGAACCAAAGCTACATATAAAGAGGCATGAGTTTTAAACTTGTATCAGAGCTGCTACTCTGCTTTTTTTATGGCAAGGCTCGGAGCAGATCTGCTAGGTTAGTTGTGTGGCACTATAGGAGATTTGTACAGTAGATCAGTGGTTTTGCTCTGTGCCTTAGCTACGCAGTCTGACCTACTCCGGTGCTTCATGAGTCCTGTAGAGCCCCGATGTGTCTGCTCCCCTGATCTAACTGGTAAGTTGCTGTTTCGCCACCCAAGAACTTGCGTCATATGACCCCTTACACTAAATAAAGAAGAATTCGAAGATGTGAAAGTATAAAAAAAAAAAAAAAATTTGAAGAAAGTCTGATGTCAGAGTAGAAGTGTACAGTGTAATGTGAGATCTGTATTTCATTACAGGCAGTTTGCTGTCAGGCCAGTGCCACCTTTGTCAGCCTTGTCCTCTCCTTACAGCTGGAGTTAGTTGTGTAAAAGATATTTTATTATATTGTTGTAATTTATACAGAAACATTCTTATGAAGCCGCTATACTGAAGGCCCTCATTTGTCTCCACGTCATCAAATTAGTAACGGTATAATCTTGCCTAAAGACAGCTGGTTATGTTTGATCACTGTTCTGCCTCCAAGCTCAGAAAAATTCAGTAACTGTTAAAAATAAAAAAGGGCATTGTTAGAATATCATCCTTTTTTTTTTTTTTAAGCCAGCTGGTCTATCAGGTTGCTAAGGTCTGTAAGTAGAGACTGTTGTGTGGTCAGTGGTTTTAGGTTCCCTCAATCAGTATTAGGCTGCATGGCTTCCACCATAGTCTCCACTCATTCAACAGCAGAACACAGTTTTGTCTGTGTTCATGTGAAATCATGTGAAACATTAGCACCTGTGCCACACTGACATTTACTTTACAGTAGCTGCACCCAAGCTGGCTGACACCCAGCTGTGGTGCACCCAAATAAAACCCTAGTGTCTCTTGTCCATTCAGAAACTGCTTTGCCGCTTTTTTTTTTTTGTGGATTCATGTCATGATGATAGTGAAAAGCCTTTTTTTTTTTTTTTTGAATGGTTTCTCCTTAGAAATCTCTGAGGTACTTGATCTTTTGATTTGTGTCGGTCATATCTCAAGTCACTGCTGGGCAAACACAATTAAACCAAGAAGAAAAAAAAAAAAAAAAAAAAAAAACCTGACTTAGTAGCATCTCTGTTCATATATACTGGTAGGGCCCTCTCCCATATTTCTGCTATTGTAGATAACTATGATAAAGATGTCTGTAACCTGAAGGCCAGGTCAGACATCCCATGAGATCTTCTCTCCAGTAGTACAGTCTAAATACAGAGATGATCAGTTGTATATCCAGAATGTCAATAGAAAATATGTATGTATGTATCCATGTCTCTGAAAATAACTGATACTGAAACTGGAAAAACAACTCCTCAAATCACACAGTGCTAACTTTGATCATTTTTCCTGAACATATTTGATTAAAATTTATATATTGCATGATTAGGAATGTACACTTTTCGTTTCTTGTTTTTCTCTGTTCCATGGACATACCCAAACAAAAACCTGTCATTCCATCTTGTCCCTATATAGTTATTTTTTGTATTACGTTTTCCTGCCCATTCTTTATTTTTGATTGTATTGTGTTTTTATCTGTTGTAAATTTAGACAATTAAAAAGTGATTGTTGAATGTTTTAAATTATTAAGCACAGGGGAAGGAAGGGGGTTCTGTTTAGTCATGACACTGAGGGAATGGTGCTCTGAATAAGTTGAGTACAACAGGTCATATGAAGCGGTGTAGTGAGAGGCTCTGTATTAATTCTCTATTGGTTCAGTTATAGTGTTATTTTACCAGGTTTGGCTTTGATAGAACTTTGATTATTGAAGGTCCTGTCTTTATTTCTTCATACTTAATTCTCCAGGTATATAATGTAATTTTAAAGGGGAAAACAAATTATCTACATTCCCTTTAAAGAAAGTCCACCCAAATTGAAAATAAAGGCCATAAGAAGCAGCTGTAGCCTCTGTGTTTTACAGCGAACCATAATAAACACACTTCTATGCTAAAATGATTCTGATTCTGTCTAAGGAAACAACAGGTAACAATTCTGTGTGTGGAGGAGGTGTATTATGTATTTGTAGCTCTCTTTTGTTTTACATAGGGACAGTGTTATAACACTTTGGACCAATGCAATAAATGTTGCTTTGAACTTCAGTTCTCTTAAACCCTTGCCTCACAGCAGGAGTAGCTTATTCTTACCAAATGACAGTGAACAGCAGAGTGAAGAAGCTGAAGTTCAACTCACAAAACCAGGGGTTTTGTTTGTACTGTTTTCATGTATAGCTAGTCTGTTAGAACACAAGGGTTGCTCGGACTCCTTCTTTTTACCTCTGATAGCAACACACGATAGAAGGGGACAGGCTAGCTCGTGTTAACATCGCTGCCATGGTAACCGGAATAAGATACTCTTCCTGTTAGTCTGAAATTTAAGTCTCCACTCGAAGCATTGGCTAACAATATATTCGTAAAGGTTGTGTCTATTAAAGGGCAGGTGGACATAAAAAGAGCAAACATATGGCTTTATCGTGTGTTACAAAGTAGATCAGCTGTGGGTGTAGCTGAATTTTGGCTAAATGATTGCATTTAACTAACTTTGAGCTAACACTAATACCCCGAAAGCCGACGGAGATGTGACGCATTTAATGACAAAATTGGCCCAAACATTTTTTTTTCCTAGTTTTACTGAGGTGTATAAAACAAAATATACAAATGAATATATATTGTGGCGACCCTGACCGGCCGCCGATGTTCATGTGTTTTGTTGTGTGCAAATGGATTTGACACTGTTGTTGAAAGCTGTGCATGTATTGGTTACCGTTGTTTCGGTGAAATACCCGCGCTGTTCTGTCCAATGTGGGGTTTGGGGAGGAACAAGTACGGGAGAGTATAAGAGGGGTAACAGGTGGGTGTGTCAGGGTGATCGCAGTTGGCGCGGAAAATGGAATACCCTGAGGGAGTGTGCTACTGCTTTCTTTTACTGCTATTTTCTTTTTCCTGTGAGCACACGGTGCCAGGTATATCGCAGTTTCATTTTGCATTCTTATTCTGTTCAATAAAAGCCAAGAAAAGACAGAGAAGGTGTTCTCCTCAATGTCAGCCTAGGTGCCAGCACACATAGGTAGAGTCATAGAAAACACATAGATAGGGTCAGGCCAGCTCCGCTCATCCGAACCAGTGGAGCGCCACAATACTCTGAAGTTGCGAGCTCGAATGTTCAAGCAGATAACTAAGCGCTTTATTTCGAAAGCGTCAACCGGAAGTTCAGTAAGGTTTGACTTGATAACAGTAGCTAGGTAGTTGTGACTGGGGCTCCCCGGGATTGTTCACAAGGGAGGAACACGCATCACTTTTGAACGAAAACAGCCCAGACACGATTGTTATATCTTGTTTTTGAATCGTTCAGCGCAAACGAACGCTAACATTAACGTGTCTCTTGGGAAACGGCTTCGCTCCGCTCTTACCTTGATAGCTATTGTTTGTAGCAAGCTAACATTAGCTTTGCTCTTTGCAGTCACAGCTGTGTTGGGTTACTGATTTATCTGTATAAATCGTTGTGGAATATGGCTCAGCATGGACATCATGTAGCCAGTTCCCAAAAAGCACTAATGCTGGAGATGAAAAGTCTTCAAGACGAGCCAGTCGAAGGGTTCAAAATAACTTTGGTGGACGAGTCGGACATGTACAACTGGGAAGTAGCGATATTCGGACCCCCAAATACACACTACGAGGGAGGTTATTTTAAGGTGAGTAACCTAGCTAATGTTAGCTAATAGTCGGTCTATTGTTCTCCAATGGGTCGACTTAGCCTACATTTAAGTTGTTTACTCATAGAGAGCAGTTAACATTGGAATTTATGTAACCGGTTTTTCATCAAACGGCAGGTAACACTATATAGCGCTAACTCGGCTATTTGGTATTTGTTCCTCGTTACTGGGTTAAAACAATCACACCTTCTTTGTTCAACTTTATATCAACTCCACACTCACTCAGGATTATTAAATGTTAGTGGTGCAGGCTAGTAAACACCGAAGCCTTTTGTCTTTGGCTTCTTTTTCCTTTAAACGCAGATTCACTGAGGGGTCCTTTGGTGACAGCACATGGTCACGTTTAATACAATTTTGTTAACATGAAGCAAAAGGTTTTTAGCATAACCGCCTCAAGCAGATTAGGGAAGCTCATCATCTAACTAGTTCACTCATTTCCTTTATGTTTGTCATTACAAACCAGTAGTTCTAGGTTTAGACTTTGTATATTTTCAGAGCAAGTCAAAGGAACAGTCATTGACTGCTAGCCAGTTTGTCTAACTTGTGTAGAATTGCAAGTTATTTCATTTGTTTTCTAGCATACTTCCTCCCTCGACGATGAAAATGTGTTGATTTCACAAATGTTCCTGTTTACAAGAATTGTTGTGATTTGAAGAAGGTGACTGGCTGGTTAGGCTCTGATTAACTACAGACTCGGATCGAATGTTTTGTTTT